TGTGTGTGTGTGTGTGTGTGAGTGTGTCTCTGTGTGTGTGTGTGTGTGTGTGTGTGTGTGTGTGTGTGTCTCTCTGTGTGTGAGTGTGTGTGTGTGTGTGTCTGTATGTGTGTGTCTGTGTGTGTGTGTGTGTGTGTGTGTGTGCTTGCCGTTTGTGTTTTCTCCTCACCTTTAGCAGTCTCACAAACAAAGGAGTATTTATTACTACATCTCCTGTCATTCCAGCGACCAGAATTTTGGACGCCCATATCCATGTCGACGCAGTCTCTCTGGGGATGGTTAATGGATTGTTACCTAAATATTTGTATGTTTTACGCTGTGTTACACCAACTTAGTCATTTTGAAGGAAAGAGACTAGACTGGTGACATGCTGATAGATCAGTTGGTATCAAGCTCTGAGCTTATACTTGTATGGGATCGAACGCTACATATAGATGCAATCTATTATATATTATTATAGCGCAGATGGCTATGGTTCAAATCTCCAATTGATTGTTTTTCTCTTGGACTAGGGTTAAATGGGGAGGTTCATGCATTTGTGCACTTGTGTTTCCGTATCTGTGAACATCGTATTTCTGTGTTTATAGTGTACGTGTGTATGTCTCTGTGTCCATTTTTGTGCGTCTGTCTGTTTGTATGTCAATGTGTTTTTGCTCATATATTGTGTCTGTCTCTGTGCGTAAACTTTTAAATGTGTAGCTCATAGTTCCATGGTCTGAAAAAGTAGTTTAGTAATAAGGTATAATTCAGCTGTCATCGAAATTAGCTTTATGCGTTTTCTTCTCTACTGTCTCTAGCCGCCTTTTGCATGTCTGCCTTTCTTTCTGTTAATCTGTGTCTCTGTCTGTCTGCATACTTGTTAGTCCCTTTCCCCTTTTCTCTCCTGACTCTAGATATGAGCCTCCGGTTATATTTGTTCTCACTCGGGTGTCTCTGTCTTTCTTTTCTCTATGTGTGTGTGTGTGTGCATATAAGTGTGTGTATGGGTGTGTGTGTGTGTGTGTATGTATGTGTGTGTGTGTGTGTGTGTGTGTGTGTGTTTGTGTGTGTGTCTGTCTGTTTGTTTGAATGTCTGTCTGTCTGTCTGCCTGGCTATTTGTCTTGTCCTTCTGTATGTGTAAGTCTGTCTACCTGATGCTTGTAAACTCATGCGTTGCTCTGTCTTGAATGGAAGTATGTGAGGAGTGAACCTGTTCAAGAACCTATGTACATGTATAAGCATGTAAACATATCAGCACATACGGGTGTAAATACTCATAGACGTAGGTGTATATATAAATATTAATGCACACAATTACATGCCTGAGTCTGACTCACCCTAGCAATCCATCTCTTGTCATTTTTGTTCTCGTCTGGTTGTTTGTAGCCCCAGGCCGTGTAGTCTACCTTGGAGTTGTCCACCCAAACAAACTGGTCTTCAAACCTTCGGTCGTTGAAACCAATCCAGGACGGTGATCGGCTGCCCGAGTTAGCTAACAGGACTGTGATGAATTCTGGTTAGGAAAAAGTAAATAGTAAAGAAACAAAATCAAACTCCGTTGGCATCCTCCACTCCCAAACAACAATATGTACCAGATGTATAAAAAAAGAGGAACCCACTTGAGAGACAATACCTCGGTCATCTTTGCACCAAAACTTAAACAAAACTTCATCCAAATAAAAAGTAAGCAAGAGGGAAGTAAATTATTGATCAATAGGAAGAAAATTGATTTGTGTGTTCGAAAAATACCCATGTTTAAAAGTTTAAAGTCCCAACCAAAAATTGAGTAAAACTCCAAGCTTTACAACTTTTAAAAAATCCACCACAAGGTGCATTAGTTGTGCATTAAAGAACAAATCTATATTAAACTGATATTGCCGAATAAACTCAGGGGAGATGTGGTTATTCAAATAAAATACTTGTGGTGTCGACCATGTTCTCCAGACAGACTCGCATATGCCACCAGAAATGTTGAGTAATCATGAGGCATGTTTGCAGGCCAGTTCTATAGATCTCCCTTTTCAGTTGCTCAATTCTTTGTGGATTGTTTGGTAGACTCTGACTTAAAAAAAAAACCCTACAGAACACATAGTACTTTGAATGGGTCCTTGTTTTTAGACGCTCTGCCTATGGTAATGTCATGGGTCTATATCACACTTATTGACCAAAGAAAAGGTTTTACAAAGAACAGACAAACAGATGTTTATTTTCACCTTTTTGTTCTACCTGCATGAAGCACAGAATTGGTGACTACAAACTATCATAATATGGTACTGGTGTGGTTATTTGGGGCAAACACAAATACTCAAATAGTAAGACAAACAAACAGACTGATAAAGAGACAGCAAAGGTTCCCGCTCCCCATTAGGACTGTGATCTGAGGTCTGGCAGGATTGACTGCTCAGTTGCTTTAAATGGTCATGAAATCTATAATATTAAACAAGGCATCAGCAAATACACTAAGAGAAAGACGCAAGCTGAAGTACTTGAAATCAGAAAAACAAATAGGCAGATATTTCTTGAGCATAGTCCTGCTATGTATAGTCCCCACTTTATCTTTTTGAGGTAAGTCAGTAGGCCTAAGTTTATTTAATGTTTAAGGTTATTCGCCAACATCATGAAGGCCTAATGTGCAGACATTTTGACTTAAACCCATTTGAAAGCATTGAATTTCAGTCGTGAAAACAAGGTTTGTCACAAAATAAAACTGAAATAGCACAAAACACAAGCATTGACCATAGCATAATAATTTTGTACTCAAAGGAGAAGATTTTTTTTCTCCACAGAATTGATAGCTGTGACAAAATCTCACAATTCACTACCTCAGAGTTACAAAGTTCTATCCGATATTGGTGGCTGTTTTATGGTTACTATATGACCATGAGGCCAGAAACTAAATGTTCTATCTTCTCTAGCAAAATTGTAAGATTATTCAGAGTCGTTATCAAGATGTTCAAAGAATAGCATTCGAAAAAGCTTGACATGTTGTGAGACTCAAAAATTTTTATGCCAAATTTCTCAAACTAGATACTGAGCAGAAAGGACTTTGTAACTCCGAAGTACATGTAGTGCAATGTCGGAAACTGAAGTTAGTAGAAAATTACACATACTGACTCCAGGTTTACTTACTTTGTTCCACTGAGTTGTGAATTGAGGCCAGTCGTGATTTATAATTCAGCAGATTACATACCGACATGGCGTCTGTGTAGTTCACTCTCTGTGAGGGCTTCAAGCCTCCGACAGTGAAGCACTTAGATACTGAAACAAAAATGAGAAAGAAATGAGAAGAAAACTATGCAGACAGGCTGAGAGGGTGTGAAAAAGAAAAATTGATGTGATAGGCTGATGGTGGGCTATAAAAGAAATTGTGAAGATTGGTAGACACTGAGAAGAAATAAAATTGTGAAGATATGTTGATAAGTAGCGGTATTAATAATATGATGGCAGGTTGACAGGTGCCAGAAAGAAGGGCAGAAAATAGAGAAGACAGGAGCTAATTAATTAGCACAAGGGGAGAAGAGCCTGCATCTTACTCTAAATGACCTAACTTGATAAACAAGCAAATAAATAAACAAACAAACAAATGAATCCACAAACAAACAAATACAATAAAGCTTGCACTCACGAGAAGGCAGAGAATGGAACCCCAGTGGACAGCCACCCTTAGTAGATGCTGGGGTCATGGGGGGAATGGTGTAGTCACCAGGTCTTTTCTTACACACATAGCCTCGCTTGTCCTGACAGTGCTGGTCGCCCCAAAGCGCTGTAGGTACACAGATAGAGCACAGGGTAATAATTGGTTTGGTAGAGCACGAGATGGTTATTGGTGTGGGTAACTGTTATGTGTTTGGACTTACAGGTTTCGTATCCACAAAGGTTTGTACAGGGTTTGTAACAAAGTCTGATCCAAACGTTATGTTTGTCGGAAAGACACTATCCAAATTTTCCTCACTTCTTCCACATGGGTATGGTTACAACCAGTACCTGGCTGTGACAATGAAGAGCCATGTTTTAATGCCTGTAAAATGACAGCTCCCGCTGGATGCACTTCCAGGAACTTAAGAATGTTTCAGAAGCGTGTACAATCTGTTCGGGTTATGATAAACAGAACCTTCTTAACCCTATCCACATGCCCTGGGGTCATTTTGTACCCCCGGGGTTGTAATCTTCACATTTTAGAATGCTTCTAGTACCAAGATTTCTTTGAAACTTTCAGTATTTCTCAAAAATCATTTTGACAGACTGCTATGGATCAGATTAACAAGTAAATTTCTTCTTTGGAAGTGGTGGCACACAGAGTTCCCCACGTCGTATGGACGCGATAGTAAAACATGACGTGCAGATAGGGTTATAGATGGGAGAATCTTCTTTCTCTTCTTCTTCTTCTTCTTCTTCTTCTTCTTCTTCTTCTTCTTCTTCTTCTTCTTCTTCTTCTTCTTCTTTTTCTGTTATCAAGAATTGTGTCCTTAATTTACATCTATGCCGTAACACTATCAACCTCATCATCAGCATCACAACGTCATCAATACGCATAAAACCATTCCTACTATTTGCATAACTGGAAGTATAGAATATCATTGTGGTGTTCTGAACAACAAGATTTTGATGACTATCCTGAATCTTCTCTTAACGTTTAGGATTTTGGACAGTCTCTTATTTGGAAATGAATCATTATGTGTAAAAGTAACAGTGTACAGTCTATAATATTAATAATAGATAGCATTTGTATAGCGCAAATTCTCGCTCAACATCAAGCTCTATGCGCTTCACAATCTATACTGTGGTAGCCTACAAACTACAAAACTAACCATATCATAACCATATTTTGAATACTATAGCTCAGCTAACATATCACCTTCATAACTTTATACTAATCGGATGGCATCAATCTGTAAGGATTGGACAAGGAAAATAAGATAGTGCATGGTCAAGAAGCACAAGTCTTTAGTAAACACACAATGTCCAAAAAAGACAGGAAATCAAAATTAATTTAACACCCAGAACAAAGCATGCTTAGGCATGTGGGGATATACATCTAGCAGTCGACCCAGGGAAGCCAAATGTACGGGATCTGTAGACTTAGGGCACTGGTTTGGAAGGGTTAATGCAGACAAATACAAAGGTCTTCAGTGTCATGATTTGTAGACTTGGGTAACTAGTTTGGAAGGGTTCATCAGCATCATCATCAAGTACCGGATCTGCCAGATCACGGCCCTCCATTCATTCATTTGTTTGGATGCTTCTAAAAAAGCAATGTTACCCTGATCTTTCCTCTTTTACCATCTGTTTAGGTTCCCTAAGTAGGTTGTTTTGAGCCTACCCCTGCCTTGTTTGCCTTCAATTTTGCCTGTGAAAGTTTGATGTTCCAGCTCTTTATGTCTGTTCAGGTGTCCCAAAAAACTGCATATGTCTTTTTCTGATTGTTTTTCATCACAGAGTGTTCCACATGAACTTCATTAAGTAGGCCCTACCACCTCATTTAATTTCTTTTCTTTCCAAGATAGAGTCAGCAGTCTCCTAAGAAACAACATTTCTGTGGCTTGGAAGGGGTAATGCAGTCAAATACAAATGTCTTCATTCAGTGTCATGATTTGTCAGGTCTTCGTATAAATTTCTGTTTTACGATTTTTTAAACATGGCTGAGGGTTGAATACTTACATCCAGAGCCGATCCGGACACATCTTTCACTGCCGTAGGCGTCGTTTGGCTGATTGGTCATCCAGCTTACATAGGACACAGGTGAACCATCTGACCATCTGGGGAAGACATAATGGTTGTTGTTGTTGTTGTTGTTGTTGTTGTTGTTGTTGTTGTTGTTGTTGTTGTTGTTGTTGTTATTGCCGTGTTGCAGTTGCAGTTGCAGTTTTTACTATTACTAAAATGCTGTGGTCATGAGGCAATGGTAGTGGTGATGATGATGATGACGATAACATGAACAATTGGTGTTTGTTAATATTTTATATTTTTGCATCTAACCTTCCTGTCTTCCTACACTAACGTTTTGGAGATCTTGTTCTTTTTCAGATGCTTTCAATGCATCAGATGCGAAATAGATTCATATTTCAGCATAGGTCTTGCTGGGTCAAAAAAGTATGGTAAAAGCCACATGTAAATATGTGAAACAGAAACATATGGTCAAAAAAAGGTTTAGCAGCAAAACCTAGGTGTTCAGCACATCTACCCATGAAAAAAAGTTTCTTTTGAATCTGTGAAGCCTGAAGACTTTGGACTGAGCTTATCCCGATTTCTATATCACTGAGAGGAAGTGACCTGTACAACTAGTACTTCTTTTGGATGGCGTAAATTCCGTTACTGGATCTGTGTGGTGTTGAAGTAAAGAATAATGGTGTGTAATGTTGTATAAAATGGTACGGGTTGAACATCACACTATACATTTATTTAAGACGGTTGACCTTTGAGTAATATAATGTCCATCTTTGATTAGAATGAGCCAGATGTGAGAGAGCATTCAACTCCACCCCCCCAAAAAACAACAAAAAAACAACTATAACAACAAATTTTTTAAAAAATCAGCAAAACAACCTAAGCTCACACAAGTTCTTTTGAAATTTTAAGCTATGTCACCTGAAACATTAACCAGGTTGCTACTTACTGAGCTATCAGCGCATCATGTGTGTAAAATGTTTTCCTCCTTACAAGTCTATAGGCTGAACCATTCACAGGAACCCCCCACCCCCACGCTTGAATATGACGGCAGTTCTCATGGATTTATTTGAACGTGTTCAGGTTCTTGTCATCTTCATCTGCAACATTTACCAGAAGGATACAAACTGTGAGAGCTATCAGCATATCACGCTAGTAGCCTACAATGTTAATTTCTCTTGCATAAAAAGCAAAAACCCCCCTCCATTCCTCCTCCCAAAAATATGCCGGCAGTTCACGTGGACTTACTTGAAGGTGTCCTGGTCCAGGTCATTGAGGCCAATCCAGAAGGTTCCAAGAGGGTGTCGGCTGACCTGTACACATGGGCAGATGTATGTGTGTGTGAGGGTGTTAATAGGTCAGGAATGTAAATGTAACACTCTGTTTGTGTGCATGTGTGTGTGTATGTGAGTGTATTATATGTGTATGTGTGTGTGGGCGTGTGTGTGTGGGCGTGTGTGTGTGTGTGTGTGTGGGGGGGGGGGGGGGGTGGGGTGTGTGTGGATTTACATAAGTCAAGAATGTATGGGTAACACTGAGCGTGCGTGTGTGCGTGTGTGCATTCATGCATACATGTGTGCGTGCATGCATGTGTGTGTGTGTCATCACAAGTCAAGAGTGTTAATGCAACTCCGCAAGCTCCCCCCCAATCCCATTCAACCAAATATTTCAGAAAAAAGGGTATCAAAACTCAAATACTTCTTCCTGAAAATCCATCTCATGTTGTTGTCATGTCAATAACATTAAACATACATTATTACCCACCGCCTTGGAGATAATAATAATAATAATAATATATAACATTTATATAGCGCATTTCCAAAAAAAAGTAGCTCAATGCGCTTTACATTGGAATACCCAATTTTCAAAAACCTTTCTTACTACTTCCTTTCTTCTCAAGCAATATACATTAATGCACACACACACACACACACACACACACACACACACACACACACACACACACATGATGTACATCTCTCTTTCGTTCAGTCAAATTCAAATAATATCTCTGAACATTTTATTCCTGAAACCACTGCAAACATTAAATATAGGCCAGTAAACACGTTCAGGATACAAATGTGTCATGTTCTCAGCACAAATTATCACATCATAAACTGTAACATTACAATTCAACTATTCAGTGACAACACTGTAAATTACGTTACTATCAATCACAAAATAGCCAAGACCATCGTGTGCTGTTCTCAAGTTTTGAAATCAAGGTGAGTTTTAACAGAACCCATTCTCCCAGTAACTTGTTTAAGGCTGAATAAAGAGGGCTCCAGTAGCTAAGTAGGTAGTGTGTTCAGAAATCAAAAGTCAAGTCAAGAGAGTGTCGGTGACACGGGGTTCACATGGGTGGTCACTCACAGGTCACTGGGCTGTGTCCTTACCCAAGACAAGACAACCCTAGCTAAAAGAACAAAAGTGCTGAACAGTGGCGACCAGCAATTACATGTTTATGAAATTGTTTTGTATTAATGTAATATTGTGTATTCATGTATAGATATATCATTATTATGTATTTCCTTATATATGTTGGCCATTGTAACCCAAATTTCCCCACAGGATTCAATAGAATGTACTTTATTAATATTATTATGATTATAGTTGTCGTTGTTGTTGTCATTATTATTATTATTATTATTATTACTATAATTATTATTATTATTATTATTATCATCATCATCATCATTATCATTATTATAATTATAATTATTATTATTATTATTATTATTATTATTATTAGCAGAACCACCAACAGCCCGAAATGATTATACACTCCTTCTCTATACAGTTGTACTCACAAGAGAGGTGACGAAAGCGTTCTCCTCATCATTCCCAATGCTGACAAGATCGCCACTCATGTTCAAACAAGCAATGCGGGCATCAAACCAAGTCTTTGTGGCATCATCGCCGTCCGATGGACTTATGTAGTAGCAGTTGTTGTTGTACTCAGACCAGGAGCTGTTACCACATTGGAGAGCTGGGAAAATAGGAACGGGTAGGGGTGAGGGGAGGGAGAAAATGGTTTCATTATTTAGCGTCTATGTTGTAGAGATGCTGCCAATTTCTCTATATATCGGCAGCAGTAGAAGCAGCAGCAGTAGCGGCAGCAAAAGTAGCAGCAGCAGTATCATGATCATTATCATCATCATCATCCTCATCATCAGCCTTCATTATAGTTCTTAGTTGTGATTTCTCCATCATCATCATCATCATTGCCTTTCTCACCCTGCACCAAGGTAGAGATGTTGCTGATTTCTCTATTGATCATCATCATCATCATCCTCATCATCATCATCATCAGCAGCAGCAGCAGCAGCAGCAGCAGCAGCAAAATTATCAGCAGTATCATCATCACGATCATCATCATCATCATCATCATCATCATCATCATTACCAACAGCAGCAGCACCAGCAGCAGTAGCACCAGCAGTATCATCATCATCATCATCATCATCATCATCATCATCATCATCATCATCTTCATCACCACCACAACCACCATCATCATCAGCCATCAATATAGTAATCAGTTTTGATTTCTCCAGTTGCGATCCATATAGCGATGTCCATGTGATATCTGTCACGATGAAAAAAATCGGAAGCAGAGGAGGAAGATGATAATAATAATGATGATCAAGATGGTAATGATAAATTCTGCTCCGTAGGGTGATAAATTCTACACTGTGTGATTTTTCTGTACTATAAATAGAACAAGTGACTTACATGGTTTTCCAGTTGGCACAGGCCTTGGTGTTGTGATCACAGCTCCTGAAATGAGAAAAGGGGATGTGAGATCATTGACACCCTGACCCATTGAAACCATTCTTTCTCCAGTGACTGTAAACAGTGTGTAGCCTTTTTATTTTCTCTCTAGCTAGCTTCAAGTTGAACAAAAGCATATATTAATATAAGGCCACCACAATCTAACAACCTAGTTATGTCAGATTACAGAAGAGTAAACTTCACGCATTGAAAAGCCCCCAAACTACCAAAATAAAGCAACAGCAAAAAAACAACCCCAAAACAAATTTTAAAAAACAGAACAAAATAAATGAAATAACCGAATAGTCCTTGGTCAAATTTGGAGACAATGATGAGTTCCAGAAGTAAACAGGAATGCTCAGAAGTTGCAACTGGTCCTTTACAGTTGATGTGATATCGCTATAACAACACTTTCATCAGAGTAGATTTATCTAAGAGTAGAGATCTTTAAATTCAATGTCTTTCTCCAAAAGGTCCAAGCCAAGATGCAGAAAGCCACGAAAACATAAACAACTCAAGTTCAAGAAAGGTTTACCGGGGATTTAAACTAGGGCCTTCCAACCCACAGCCCAGAATTGTACGAACTACCAGCCAAATTGTTACCAACAAAAGTCTTAGAAGAAGAAACCTGACAATCAATAATTTATTAACAGAGACACCAGCCATCCATGTCCAGGTGCTGTTTTAGCCAAGAAGAAACTTAGTATACAAAAATTGGAGTCAGAAACTTTGACCGACCTTTGGGAACCTGACAGATGAAGTTGTGGGCCACGTAGCACGTCTCATCATTCCAGGTGTTCTTCACCGTGTTCCAGGTGACACAGTCCTCTCTGAAGAAAGATCCGAAGGGCATACATGTTTGTGTTGGTAGCAGGTAGTGGGGGAGGAGTAATGTCGTGCAGATTGTCTGTACTGATGTAGTATTGTGTGTTGTGTGTCACTGATGAATTGTTGAACTAATGTATTCATATACATCTACTTACGAATGTACAGTCAAACCTGTGTAAGACGGCCACCCATTGTCAAGTAGAAAAGTGGCTGTATAAGACAGGTGGCCGTCTCAGGCAGGACTGATCAAGATGAAGAAAACAAACCATTCCCATCTGAGGTCCCAATCGAAAGTAGCCGCATTATTGTTGTAGTTGTTGCATTTGTTGTTTTTGTTGTTGATTTGTATTTTGTTTGTAATTTTCACTTTGTTGCTGATTTTGCACAAGGGTGACAATAAAATGAAATGTATCATATGAGGAAGACCGAGAGCCATGTTAAAACATACACATGGGTCGCCACCACAAACAGAACGAGCGACGCTTCTGCCATAAGCTCAAGTTGACGCCCTTTGTTACTTTGTTACAGACTGGGTAAACAGTGATAACTCATCTCACTTACGATAAGTGTATGAGTTCTGGGCGGAGCTTATGGGTTATGAGGGATCACACGCTTACCTCATTAGCAGCTGAAAATTGGTAGCTATTGGTCAACAGTGGGAGGGGCCTACGCAACATGATCTGTAGGAGGGACTACCTAACAACAACGACAGGTGATTGAATTATGACAGCTCGCCCACAACGCCAGGGGCCAATGCACAATTTATGACAAAACGTAATGGAGTCACAAAGGTGGCCGTCTAAGACAGGCGTTATTGCTTAGTGTGATAGGGGTTGTGTGTTAAAAAATGGTGGCCGCGGCCGCTTTGGATAGGTGCCCGTTTTACACAGTTAAATTATATAGAAAAACGCAAGGGGGGAAATGAAAAGTGTCTGTTTGTACACGTGGCGTATTTATCTATCCTTTTAACCTGGATTGCTAAAAACAGTCGAGCTAAGATTTTTTAAAATATTTCACACTGCTCATGCCTACCCCATTTTTTTCCAACTTCATGTCTCTCAACTTCAGCCCGTCTGATCTATTTCCAAAGCAGACAGCCAGTGCAGAGACACGCCAGACCTCAGAGATACAACTATGTTTTGACCTACAGTTGGAGTACACTTTATAGAATAAACCATTGTTTTTGCTTTACTGCATACTAATCGTGTGAAAGCCAGAGAAGAACACAGGCCTTGGTGTTGTGACCACAGCTCTTGAAATGAGTATACGAGGGGTGGGAGACCATTGACGCCCTGGCTCATTGAGATCATTCTTTCTCCATGAACTGTAAACGGTGTGTAACACTATTTTAATTTTCAGTCTAGCTAGCTTCAAGTTAAACAGAAGCATAATAGCAAAGAAGAGCTGTTTTTTCCCTATGTTTTTATTGAGGAAAAAAGCAACACTCACTTTCCTCCAGCGTCGTCTGGCTGATTGGTCCCCCAGTGTGAGAAGGAGAAAGGGGACTCGTCCTCCCACTTGTATCCTGGTGGGACATGTGAGATGACAGAATGACAGATAGTGTGGCTCTTGCTGCATGG